GTGATGACATTGCGTGATTGCATCATCACGATGCAAAATTGTGTCAAATCTCAGCAAAAACATATATGTTTTATATATATATGTTAATTTAGATTTGTTCGTAGCAATATAAATGCATAATATAACATTAAAATATAAATAACTATTTTTAAATTCATTGAATTATCGAAAACGTACACATTTTTGAACGATTACAATTTAAGTTTTATACTTTAAAGCGGTTTATTAGTAGTTAGTTAGTATGCTGCACTCTAAGACAAGTAAAAAACATAATGCACAGTCTACGGTGTTAATGTGAAGGAGTTTTCTGGATTGATTTTTCCACAGGTTTTTGTGCCTGCATTTTTAATTACGCATTGTATTTTGTGTTTTCGGGGTACAGCGGATGACGGATAATGTCCTGGAAAGCTACTAGCACCTTTTCCATTTTTCTGCATATTTTTCTTACAGTGTACTGACTCATCAACAATCACAGGTACAAGCTACTAACAAAGTGTCTCATAAATGAAAAATAACAGAACGTACACATTTTTGAACGATTACAATTTAAGTTTTATACTTTAAAGCGGTTTATTAGTAGTTAGTTAGTATGCTGCACTCTAAGACAAGTAAAAAACATAATGCACAGTCTACGGTGTTAATGTGAAGGAGTTTTCTGGATTGATTTTTCCACAGGTTTTTGTGCCTGCATTTTTAATTACGCATTGTATTTTGTGTTTTCGGGGTACAGCGGATGACGGATAATGTCCTGGAAAGCTACTAGCACCTTTTCCATTTTTCTGCATATTTTTCTTACAGTGTACTGACTCATCAACAAAGTGTCTCATAAATGAAAAATAACAGTATTCAATTATTATTATTATTAAACAATTGCAAATAGCAGCTAACTTAATTCCTGTAGCGTGTGTACTGCTAGGCATCTTTGGTTTCCTCTTTTTGTGTAATCTAAATGGTCAATTGAGCCTTTTTATCATTTGAGTCACTTATCAGAAGTCGCTAAAAGCTGCCAAATACATTTTTAAAAATAGCTACATTTGTTGCTAGGTGCTTTTGGAAAAATGTCCCCCTAAATAAGCTTTTACCCTAAAAGTTGCTTGGGTAGTCTGAAATGTTGCTAAATTAAGCAACAAAATTGCTAAGTTGGCAACACTGCTGATGGCCTCCTGGTTTCGTCATGTAGCAGCCAATCAGATCCGAGGGATCCTCAGCACTGAAACAAAGCGAGCGCGCTGAACGGAACTGCTCATGAAGAGATACATGTGAGGAGGGCGGGGCTTGGCGGCCCGGACTTCCGCTCAGACTTGTCAAGTAAGATGTGTCTACATAATAACAATCTTATCTTAAGCTATTACTGTCTGGTTTAGCTCTGGGCTGTGTGTAAAGCAGGGAAATGCCTCTGATGCGCTGTAAGCTGTTGCAGGATCAGTGTGTGTGTTTACAGATGATTCTATAGCGATTACTGGGGGAGGCTAGCCTGTGCATGTCAGGTACTGTACTTCATGTGTGTTAAAGATTACAGCACTTGGCGTGTTCGTGTCTTCGTGTCTGCCGAGGCCGCGGCGCGGTGATTGAGCCGTGGTTCTCAGCGAAGCTCTCAGCGTCGAGCCTGAAGCCTGCAAGCCTGCAGATCCTGTTCTCCTCAGCATCAGCTTCAGCATCGCAGGCAAACATGGTGCAGTCCTGCTCGGCGTACGGATGCAAGAACAGATACCACAAAGACAGAAACATCTCCTTTCATAAGTGCGTGTGCTGTTGCGTGTGTGTCTAGCACTAGTGTTCAGTGATGTGCTTGCAGTGTGCAAGTGATCTTTCTGACTAAGTTTAGTTCCCCGCATGCACCTTCAGCCCTGCATGACTTTCTTCTGTGGAAAATAAAAGAAGATGTTTTGAGAAATGTC